ATTATAGCCACTGGAAACCAGCTGGAGTGCAGTTCAACTCTGAAACATGAAGTTGCTCTGAGTAGAAATCAACCACCAAGGCTCAAATCACTCTACCTCAACAGGCTTGATTTGGGTTTTCACTTTCCTTCCTTGCTGCCAAATGCTAATGTTCTTAGCTTTAGGAATATTCTCCTACTCCTCCATTCTAATACTCAATAGTAACATGACCATGGTTAATTCTAAATTATCTTCCTCCCATTAACTGTATAGTTCTGGAGCAGAGAGGCATTGTGCTACTGATCTGGCATACACACACAAAGCCCTCTATGTATTTTAAAGATAATAGGATTAAATGTATGTTTTGGGAATGAAGAAATAAAGGGGAAAGTTCTTCACAGTCAGATTGTTGTTGTTGTTGTTGTTGTTGTTGTTGTGTGTCGTCAAGTTGGAACTGAATTGTAGCTCACCCTCCGGCGGGTTTTCAGGGGCAGTAAATCACATGCCGATCCTCCCAGGGAGCAGCTGGTGAATTTGAAGCACATACATTTGGGATTGCAGCACACCTTCTTACCACGAGGCCACCAGAGCACCTGGGGGCTCTGAATATTCTCTCCATTTTAGAGATGAGGGAATTGAGAAAAGTCATAGAACTACAAGTCGTTTAATAAGTTAAAAAGTGGCCTTGAAATTTGTTATTTTTCTCGGAAAACAAAATGATTGTTGAGGTTTTAAGTCACTAAATGTTGTGATTTAGTTTATCTAGAAGTATTTGTTGTTGTTATGTGCCATTGAGTCGCCTGCAACTCATAGCAACTCTATATAAAGCTTATCCTGTTCTGAGCCAGTCTCACTGCATCCAACACACCTACCCCCATTGCCCCAGATATTGTATCAATCCATCTCAACTGGGGTCTTCATCTCCTGTGCTGTCCCTCCACCCTTCTGAGCATGATATCCTTCTCCAAGAACCTGTCCTCCTGGCCAGTAGGTGAGACGGAGTTTCAAAATCCTAGCCTCCAAGAAGAAACTTGGTTTCACCTTCTCCAAGACAGACTTATATGTTTTCTTAGTGGTCCATAGTATGTTCAAGACTCTTCTCCAGAACCACAACTTAAAGGCATTGATTCTTCTGTTATCCTTTTTCATTGTCTAGCTCTCACATGCATAGCAATTAATTGTAACGACCATGGCCCAAATCAGGTGCACCTTAGTCTCTTACTGACATTGTTGCTTCTCAGTACTCTGGAGAGGTCTCTGACAGCATATTTTCCCAGTGTAGTTCGTCTTTTGATTTCCTGGCTGCTGGTGCCAAGAGTGCTGACTGTGGAGCTGAGCAAGCTGAAACTCTTAACAACCTATCCCTTCTCCATCCATCTTGGTGCTGCCAATTGCCCCAGAGATGAGAATTTTTGTCTTTTTGATATTGTTGAGCTTCAGTCCATTTTAAAGACTAGAAGTAGAGTGCTGCCAAAATAAAATCCTAAACCAGCTTCATCTCCTTCCAAACACTCTTTTTCCTCAAGGCTTTATACATTGAGTCCTGACATGAAATATGCATATTTTATTTCTGGAGGAAAATGTTCTATCTTTGAATATGCTTGTAAGGAGCCCTGAGGTATACCCACTAAGTGTTCAGCTACTAACTAGAAAGGTCCACGATTTGAACCTGGCATAGGCTCCATGGAAGAAAGACTTGGCAATCTGCTTTTGTAAAGATTACCACTCAGAAAAACCTATAGGGCACTTCTGCTCTGTCACATGGGTTTACTACAAGTTAAAAAGCAACTCTTTGTTATCTAAAAATAACAATAGAAGATTTCTACAAATTTCTATAGTTGGAAATCGATCAAACATGCAACCGAGATGCATTAATAATAATGGGTGACTGGAATGCAAAACTTGGGACCCAGGAAGATGGACAGAAATGAGACTGGAGACAAACTCATAGAATTTTGTACAATCAATAATTTATTCATTGGAAATACAAATAAGAAACACAAACAGCGACCATACATTGACCTCACCTGATGGTCTACACAGGAATCAGATAGATTACATCTGTGGAAAGAATTGATGGAGAAATTCAGTATTCACTGGGAAGACTATGCCAGGTGCTGATTATGAAACACCATCAACAGCTCATATGCAAATTCAAACTGAAACTGAAGAAAATCAGAACAAATCCACAAGAACCAAAATTTGATCTTGAGTTTATCCCACCTGAATTTAAAAACTATCTCAGGAACATATTTGAGGGCTTGGACACTAATGAGCAGACTAGACAAGCTGTTGCAGGATATCAAGAATGTCGACCGTGAAGAATGCAAAGCATCATTACAAGTACAGAGGGGGTAGACCAAGACGGATATCCAAAGAGACTCTGATATTACTTTAGAACACTGAGAAGCCAAAGGAAAGGGAAGAAATCAGGAAGGAACTGAACAAAAGATTTTAAAAGTCAGCTCAGAAAGGCAAAGCAAAGTATTATAATGAAATGTGCAAAGAGCTGGAGTCGGAAAATGAACTCACTTGGCATTTCTTAAGCTGAAAGAACTGAAGAACAAATTCATGCCTCAAGGGGCAATCCTTAAGGATGCTATGGGCAGAATACTGACTGATTCAGGATGCATCAAAAGAAGGTCAGAGGAGTACACAGAGTCCCTATACCAAACAGAACTGGCTGACACAGAAAAATTCCATGAAACTAATTATGATCAAGAGGCAATGGTGATGAAAGAGGAAGTTTAAGCTACGCTGAAGGAATTGGCAAGGCCCTAGGAATTGATGGAGTACTAATTGACATCTTTCAACAAAGAGGTGAAACCCTGGATGTGCTCACCAGACTGTGCCAAGAAATCAGGAGGACAACTAATCTTGAGAAGAATGGGAATCCAAGAGCACTTGATTGCACTTGTGCAAAACCTATACTTGGACCAGGAAGTAGTGATAAAAATAGAGCTAGGAAACACTGCATGGTTCAGAGTTAAGAAAGGAGTGCATCAGGGATGTGTTCTTTCTTCATAGCTTTTTAATCTATATATGGAACCATTTAATCAGGAGGCTGGACTCTATGGGGAGGAATGTAGCATCAGGATTACAGGAAGACTCATTAACAACCTGCAGTACAGAGATGACACAACCATGCTTGCTGAAATGGAAGAAGACCTGAAGCATTTGCTGCAGAAAGTCAAGGACTGCAATATGGACTGAAATTCAACACCAAGAAAACAAAGATTCTTACCACGGGGTCTATTGGCAACACCATGATAGATACAGAAGAGACTGAGATTGTTAACAATTTCAGCTTACTCAATTCCACAATCAATACCCTTGGCACCAAAAGTCAGGAAATGAAAAATTAATTGCATTGGGAAAATCTGCTGTCAGGAACCTCTCCAGATGCTAAAGAGCAACAATATTAGTCTAGAGACTAAGGTACGCCTGATCTTTGGTCTTTGCAATTACTTGCTACACATCAGAAATCTGGAAAATTAACAGGGATGACAGAGGACGTATTGATGCCTTTGAGCTCTGGTACTAGAAAAGAGATTGAACATACCATGGACTACCAAGAGAACAAACAGATCTGTCCCAGAGAGGGTGAAACCAAGTTGCTCCTTGGAGGCAAGGCATTGAAACTCACCTCATATACTTTAGTCATAGTGCCAGGAGGGACTAGTCCTTGGAAAATGACATCATGCTTGGATGGGTGGAGGGACAGCACAAGACAGGAACACCCAGGATGAGATGAATTGACATAGTAACTGAGATAACGGGGTAGGTTTGTCAGAGACAGTGAGACTGGCTAGGGCAAGGCTCAGAGCTATTGTACATAAGGTTGCTATGAGTCACAGGTGACTCGATGGCACATAATAACAACAACAACAAACCTCTTCTAAGTGTAAGTAGAGGGTGTAGCATGGCCTCCCCCCCTCTGCAAAGCTCTGCACGTTGCAAGAGAGGATGCACAGAGAGGAGGGTGCAGTGGACAGCTCCTAATGAGGAACGGCCCAGAGTGGCCACAAACCAGGCCATCTGTCTGGAGGCTGGCCAACCTGTGCCACTTAGCAAATGACAATATGTACAACGGGGGGCGGGGGGATTGGGGATATCTGGGAGAAGGCTCTGTCATCTGTTCTAAATCTTGTATTTGCTGGGTTTGTTCACTTGTGGCTCACATTTTGGGGGTTGTTTTTATTTATTTCTTTTTTGCCAGGCCTGTACCTTTAAAAAAAATGTCCTTTGGCTTTGCGGAGACAGAGTGTGATGTATCCAAGCCACCTGTGGTTTGTGACGGGCCTAAACCAGGACCACAGCCTTCAGGGCCCGACCTCCTCCTGTGTCGGTACTTCCTTTCCCCTCATGTCTGCCTCCACTCCTCACAGCACCATTGGCTCTGTGAAGAAATCTCTTTATGTCTCCCCAAAATAAGCTCCATCATGTTCTATTTTTAATGAGTTTCCAATGTCTGTTCTGCAAAAGAAAAAAAAATCCCTTTAGAAAGAAATCTGAAACTGGAACCTCACATAGGGAGGCGATGGATGTGTGTTGGAAAGGGGCTGGGGGTCCGGGTAGGTCTAGGAAGCCTCCCCGCTGACCCTTTGGTGCCAAATAGTCTAGGTTCTCACACCTGAAAGGATATTGAAGCTCATACAGCATTGCTCTGTGTGGGGAGAGCAGTTGTTCCCAGCCTCAGTCTCTGTGGGACTTCGGGAGAGAGCCCAGAGAAGCCACAAACAAGGACCTTCCACTGCAGTCCTCAGTCAGTGCTGGTTGACTGGAAGCCAGGTCCTGCCAACCCCACAGCCACACGCCACCAACTTCACCCACAGGTAACTGCGAGGACATGGTGAGCCCACCACACTCCCACCAGCAGCAGCAGAGGAGCACACCTGCCTGCTTGAAAACAGGACTTTCTGTCAAGCCGATCGCCTTCCATGCCTTACAGAAGGTTTTGTTGAATAACCTCTGACTCTTTTTCCCTGCTGACACCGAATTCTGTGTTCTCTACTTTGCAGTTCTTCCCGTATGGTGACGCCTCCAAGTTTGCCCAGCACGCGTTCCGGACCTTTGACAAAAACGGGGACGGCACCATCGACTTCCGAGAGTTCATCTGCGCCCTGTCCATCACCTCCAGAGGCAGCTTTGAGCAGAAGCTGAACTGGGCCTTCAACATGTACGACCTGGACGGTGACGGCAAGATCACACGAGTGGAGATGCTGGAGATCATCGAGGTAAGGCTCTCAGGCAGCGTTAGGCTCCGCCCGGACCTGGGCTGCTGCCGGCACGAACAACAGCTCGCTTGGTGCCAGCTAGGGCTTCTTTTATTGCCTGGCCAGGAGCCCTGCTTGCTGCACGCCAAGCCCTGGCTTTTTCAATCTCTGCTCTGTCTCTCTAGTGAAGCTCAGAGAAGTCACAGAACCAAGCTAGTAGATTCTGCTGTCAACTGACAGTGCCATTTGAATCAGCCTGTCACCCAGTGAGGTCGCACTGGGCTGAAAGGGTATCAGGACTTGATCCCAGTTACTCATGACTTAACTCTGCTGAGCTGCATACACTGTCCACACCTTCAAGCTAGCTTTCCCCTGGTAGCCACCAGGTGCTATGAGCAGCAGCCAGGTTTGCTTCCAGGTCTCAGCACGTCCACAGAAAACAAGCATCTTTTCAAAGTGTTTCTGTAAGTATCTCAGGACTGACTCCTGTGTCCACTGCTCCGACTTCACCTAGTCCACATTCGTCTTTCCTTACCACACTTCAGACACTTAGACCTTCTGGTTTCCCTCTCTCTGTGATGCACACCCTGCTCCTCCCTGCTCCATTACCTCACTGCCCTCAAACCTGTGCTCACATCTTACCTCAGTGACATTATTTTTCCCTATCTCTCCATAAAAAAAAACCAAAAAAAACCCCAATAGTGTCCAACACTACTCCCCACCCAGGCTGCTCTTGCTAAGATGTATTTATTGCTGCCCCACATTACCTCACACATCAGAATGGAAGCTCTGTGAGAACTCCGCTTGCTCCCTGCTGTATCTTCAGAGCCTAGAATAAATAATAGTCCCTGCACCCTGTGCAGACACTTGGCAGCTGATGGGTAAGGAGTCCATGACTTGCTTTTGAGCACGTGTGTTAGGGTGTGTGACCACCACTGCGCCAACCACTGTGAACTGAAGATGAATTGATGGCTTAGTAAGAAGCAAATGTTCCCTCCAGAGTTGGTGTGAAGGATTATCCAGACCACAGAGACTGAGACAGGGGAAACAGGGTCCCTCAGTGAAAATTGGGCATGAGTACAAGAAATGGTAACCAAAGCCCAAGTAATCAAAAGCTGAAGAGCTAACCCTCTTCTTCAAGCTGATGCTGATCACACTATCTTCCCCCTCCCTCTGGAAGAGAGAGCGAGTGAGCAGCGAGGACAGAGTGATCTTTCCCCTCTTCCTGCCCCTCCCAGCAGTCAGCTTCATTCTAACGGCTTCTAAATCCTTTCTCTCACTTACATACATCTTCTCTTTTAGAGCCTTTAGTCTATCTCCTTTGGCTTCTTCCCATCCGCCATTAGTATCCACTCCCCTCAAACATGCCTGTTGTTGTTGTGTGCTGTCAAGTCAGAACCAACTCACAGTAGACCCTCCAGGAGGTTTTATCACACACGAGTATCATTTTTCTTGTGTGAAGCAGCTGGTGGATTTCGAGCAACGTGTGTTAGGGATTGCAGCACAGCTTCTTACCACTAAGTCACCACAGTGTCCCCAAATATGCCCACCAAGCTAATATTTTATTTATTTGTAGTCACTCAATTAACTGTACACTTCAAAAAAATCTGTGAGAAAGTATATGGTGTAAAAGTTCTGTGCCTTCCATCAACAAACTTATGGACAGAGAAGCTGTGGTATAGTCACACAACGGAATACTACACTGCATTGAAAAACAAGGAACTCACGAAATATTACACAAAATGGATGACCCTGGAAGACATTATGCTGAGTGAAATATCCCAGTCACAAAAGGACAAATACTACATAGTGCCACTGTTATAAAATGGGACTGACATTGAGCTTGAGGGGAACCTAACAAAAGAGGGGATAAATAATTTATATTACATTGAAACAGATGAGGGAGAGAACTATTTAAAAGGCATATATGATTAGGTATTATTTTCACGACAAGATTTCAGAAAAAGAAATGCATAGTAAAGTAGACTGTGGACGTTGGAGGGTATTGTACAATGATGAAAAGAATTTTTTTCTTTTCAAAGAGGAAAGCAAGCTGGGGGGAGGGATGGGCAGAGAGGAAAATGTGCAACAATGAATGAATGGGGAAAAGTTAAATGGGGATAATATGCTAAAACAAGGGAAAAAGTTCTGTGCCTGAGTTTAATCCTCTATCATTTTCCTGTCTTCCTCATTCTCTAATCTTTCGTCCGTCAATCACACTCCACTGGATGCTTGCTAAGGTGTCTAAGGTTTTCCTACAAGAAAAGCATCAGCAAGGTTTTTCTCCTCTTTGATTTGCCATTTCCCCCCAAGTGAACATCAATCCTTTCTCATCCTTGGCAGTGCACTTTGGCTAAAGATCCCCGAGAGCACACTTGCCATTGAACCAGATAAGCGTTGAACCAGTTGAGTCTATCACATACTAGAGTGAGGGAGGGTCAGTAAGAGGGTGTTCAGAAAGGCTCTCTCTAGGATTTAGACTTTGATCGGGATTGAGATCTACAGGAAGTGAACACGATCCACTGCTGACTGTAAGTCCAGCCAGGGACACCTCGGAAGAAAGGTTTGACAGTCTCCTTCCAAAACTCAAGAATTGAAAACTCTGTAGAGCACATTTCCATTCTGACAAATGTGGGGTTGCCAGGATTTGCAATTGCCTTGATGGCAATTGGTTTTAATTAGTTTGAGGTAAACTGGGGAGGCTTGAGAAGAACAAAAATCCCAGAACACTTAAATTGTGCTCAGGCAAAAGCTTTACATGGACCAAGAAGCAGTAGTCAGAACAGAGCAGGGAAATACTGCCTGGTTCAGGTTCAGGAAAAGTGTGCATCCAAGATGCATCCTATCTCCATACCTTTCAATCTATATGCAGAGCAGATCATTCAGGAGACTGGACTTTATGAAAAGGAATGTTGGCATCACAATTAGAGGAAGACTCATCAACAATCTGCTTTATGCAGATGACACAACCTTGTTTGCTGAAACTGAGGAGTACATGAGGCATATGCTGCAGAAGAAGGTCAATTACTGTTGTCTTCAATATGAATTGAAGCTCAACATCAAGAGAACAAAGATTCTCACCACTCGGCCAATTGGCAGCATTGTGATGGAGAAGAGATTGAGATTGTTAACAATTTCAGTTTGCTGGTTTCCACAATCAACACTCTTAGCACTGGCAATCAGGAAATCAAAAGACAAAGTGCATTGGGAAAGTCTGCTGTCAAGAACCAATCTAGAGTACTGAAGAACAACGATGTCATCTGGATACTAAGGTGACCTGATCCAGTCATAGTCTTTGCAATTACTTGCTATGTATTAGAGAGTTGGACAATAACTAAGGATGATGTTGTTGTTGTTGTTATGTGCCGTCGAGTCGCCTGCGACTCATAGCGACCCTATGTACAACAGCCCTAAACTCCGCTCTGTCCTGTGCCAGTCGCAC